GGGTTGTTGTCAGCCTTGTCTTCTGATGGGTTTGAGTTTAAGTTGCTTGGTGGGTTCTATGGGCTGTTGTAATACTGGGTTTGGTTATTTTTTAGCTCCTTTTTATGCCCTAATTGGCCCTTTGTTTTTGTTGGCCTTGGGTCTTAGCTTTTGGGTTATCTTCTAGGGCCTTTTCTGTTTCCCAATGTTCTATTTACGCAAAAAACCAAAGAAAAGAAAAGTACTGTGACTAATACAACTATGGGGCACACCTGTGTGGGAATTTTATCATGTTGGTTTTTCTAAAAATAAAAAATAAAAAATAAAAAATTAGTAAATTGGATTAGATTGAACTTCAATGTTAGGCAACTTAAATTGATTAATCCAAACTAAAATTAATCAAAGCGGTTTGGGACAGGGACGGACCCAGGAAATTATGTCAGGGCGTCCTTTTAATAACAACTTTTTTTTTTTTTTTAATAATTAAGCAACAAAATAAATACATTCAAAAATTGCATATTATAACAGATTGTGCGCCTGTGTTGTTGTGCATTGTAATAAATAAATAAAAATTAAATATTCAGAAATTGCATCTGCATTGCTATTGTAAAAAATAAATCAAAGCGAGTACTTGTACAAAAGAACTTAATCTTGCAAGTTGAAACACTGAACACTCCCAAACTCCCAGTATCAGTTGCATTTTTCAGGTGATTAAATGAGCATAAGTTAAACATCCCAGCAACCAAAGTGTTCAATTCTTTAGATCAATTTGAATCAAAGATATTTGAAAAGAAAATAAACCGACCTTATCAAATCCCTAATCCAAAAAAAAAAAAAAAAAAAAAAACAATAATAAATAAATAATATCTAAGAGGAAAATGAAACCACATAGAACACAACAGATATTCGATTCTTCATTGTATATATTTCTTTGTTGTTGTATTAACAATTAAAACACAGAGGGGTGCATGGTATATATTTTGGGAACATATAGTGGGGACTGGGGGGATATTTGTGAAACTTCAGGGGAGGGCATGGCATATATTTTTTAAAAAGTTTAAGATATAAATAAATAAAACACAGAGGGGGCGTCCCGCAAGTCCGTTTGGGATGATAGAATTATGAATTTGTTAGACTATCTTCTTGGTATGATCGAGTCGAATTGGAAGAGGGTTTTAATTTCTCATCTTGGACAAAACTAAATTTTGATATGTGATAGGACCTTGTGCTAAGGACTCAATGAGCTCATTCTCTCTCTCTCTCTCTCTCTCTCTCTGTTAAGAACTTGAGAGATGCTAAAAGCTTAAACAAAACTGTATTTTATTTTATTTTTTTTTTCATGTCAGATGAGTGTATTATATTGGACTGCGTCGGACCTCACACATCTTATGACACCATTGGTGGCAAAGATTTCTTGAGCTAAATTTTAGACACTAAGGCTTCGTTTGGATACGGAGGAGAGAAAAGAAAAGAAAGGATTAGAAGAGAAAAGAAAAAAAAGAAAGAATAGTTATAATGTTTGGATAGATAGGAGATAAAAGAAAGGAAAATATAATATTTTTGTTTGGATAAAAATGAGGAGAAAAAAGAAAAGAAAGAATAATAATGAAATTACTATATTACCCTTTTATATATTTTGATAAATAATCATTCATAACTTGATAGCATATTAGTATTTTTTTCTCTCCCAGTTTTATTGGAAACTAAAATTAATAATAACAAGATAACTTGATAGCATATTGTTTTTTTTTTTTTAAGTAACTTAATAATATACATATAACTTGATAGCATACTTCGAAAATAGATACGTATGTAAGATTTTTATACCACATTTTCTCATCTCTTCATAAACTTTAGGGTTTTTTTTTTATTTTTTTTGATAATTAAAATAATACTAAATAATTAATACCAACTAAAAGTAAATCAATGTCTACACGTAAGATATGCAATACATTGATGTACCTTACCATCCCCTAAGTGCTATAGTCAGATTTTTTTGATGCTATAACATGATCTTTATCTAGCAACGTCATCAACAAAACTATTACTTAGTCTTGTTAGAGCACTCAAGATTTTAGATACTGAACAAAAAATGATTTGATCTTAGATGCATAGATAGATATGAAAGATTGGGTTTTATTTTTCTATCCAATTCTATAATTTTCTGGCAACAAGATGAAGCATAAGAAAAATCACCAGACACCAATTCTATGAAATTCACTGGTTGAATAAAAAAGCAGAGCAAATACACTGAATTGAAAGCATCGAAATCATTGATATGTTTGCATAGCATATATATATATATATATATATATATATATATATATATATGGAGAGAGAGAGAGGGAGGTAGTACAGAGATTGGAGAGTGGATAGGAGCCTGAAGAGGAGAGAGAAAATTGGAATTTCTTCTTGACTTGAGCAAAGTGCAGTAAACGAAATAGGGCAGCTGAAGGGACTTGGAGGGTTAATTCCGTCTTTGTCATCCTTTCCCCCTCAAATCTTCTCAACTTTGAGAGGATTTGTTTTTATTTGGAGGGATAGCCTATCCCTCCAAATTCTTCCCAATCATTTCTTTTCTTCTCAACTCCTTCCACCCAAACACACTAAAATCTATTCTTACTTCTCTCCAATTCTCCCAATCTAAACGAGGCCTAAATTCTTTGAGGCTTGTTGCATATTGGCATTGTAACTTGTTACACATGTTTTATATTGCATCCTCAATATAACGTTGACAAAAGGTAGATAAATTTAGTAACCGAGAACCACAAATTACAAATAAAACCCTATAGTATTATTAATGTTTAAAACCTATTAGGGTGCACCTTTTTATAATAGTGAGGATTCTTAAAAAAAACTCAAATTAACACTATTTCTAAAAATCACATAAGATAAGATCAAGAGTCAACCATGAATCTTCAAGAATTAATCATAAAAAATTGTGTAAATCTCCACATTTGACTTTCTTTCCCTCCAAACAAGATCCTTTTCCATGTTACGTTGATTGATTTTTTGTTTGTCTCTGTTGCAGTGATTCCAGAATCCAGGGTATAAAGCAATGAGTTATTGCATCCAATGAATTACTCTATCCGGTCGAAAGGTGTTAAAAGTGAATCACACCACATAACTGACACGTGTGCGTCACTTAAGATGGTATAGTACTATAGTACAAGAGCACAGAAGTTACATTGGAGCCCGTGTGGGGTCCAGTTCCGGCAACCGGTAAAGTAGGGCAAACAGAAAAAGAAAGAAAAAGGCCCATTGTTATGCTCGGAAACGTTGTTGTTTTTGGAAAGAAGAGCTTTATAAGGAAAATAACAAATATTATAGAGAAATATATCTGCTTGTCGAATGTCAATCTTGTCCCTAGATGCTTGTGACCTTGGTGGCAATAATTCATTTAATTAATACATTGTCGCTTTTATAAATAAATCTTTCTATATATTTCCTTTTAAGTTTTTAAAAAAATTCAACTTGATAACGTATATTCAAAATTTAAATGATTATTTAATTATTTTTAAACGATGTATTAATTATATGACAATACTCTTATTTTTAAAAGATGTATTAATTATATGACAATACTCACCGGTGAGTAAGTTAGTCTTACCCCAATCACAAATGCACAAATAATTTTTTATTAAAATATTAAGAAAGTAATAAATAAGGAAATCAGATAGAGAGAGTGGCTGAATTTATTCCCAAAAAAAAAGTTATTATCTTTATTTATTATTTTCTTGATCTTATAGTTATAGATTATTTGTATATTTGTGATTGGACCATGTCAGTACCAAAAAAGTGATAAATAAGGATATTAAGGAGGAAATTAATTTCTCCACACAATTAAAATTTTGAACCACAAACCCAACAATTAGTGAGTAATGTCAAGATCTTGTCATCCTATTCTCAAAAGTTAAATTATTTGGTATAATGTTGCCTCCTATTCAAATAGGCTTAAGATCAACCCACATGTATCTTATGTAGGACAAGACCTTTGCGACATTTTGAAGTCGGGACGGACTCATCCATATCTGATGTGAGAAAAAAACTCTTTGTGACATTTTGTGATTGAGTCACCTTACCTATTCGTCCATCATAACAATGAGATGACTTGGTCACGATGCGAACCCCAACACTTCTCATTTGTATTTGGTGTGAGATAAAAGTATTATGACATTCTCTTTCACTCAAATTTGTAACAGGCTTGTTATTGTCTGACCACTCTAATGGCAAGAGGACTTAATGAATTAGGTTGGCTATGATACTACTACTTGTAACATGCTAATCACTTGTCCTTAACTTAAAATCTTAATTTATTTTTTTATTATTTATTTTTTTATGGTGTTGCCTGCTCACTCTCATTTCTCTATCGATAAGAAGACCCCTGTGACACCTTAGGCATTAATTCATTAGCTATTTTTTTTGTTCTTATTTTTAAATAGTAGTTAATTTTCAAAATTATATAGGGATATACAGAATGGAAAAGCTATTTTCCGAATGGAGTATTATTACTTTTACATGAATACCCATTCTTTATTTTTACAAATCCCATGAAAAAGACTAAAATCCACTCTCTAAACCTAATTTTTTTTATGTCTAAATCCTACCCCTAAAACCTAGGTTTTGGGTATACCTTTGGGGAAAATTATTGAAAAGGACGATGTGTTTTTAGTCAAGGAGCAAGGAGCAAACATGCAAACTTTCCAACTTCATTACCAAAAAAAAACCTCTTTTTAAAAAAAATAAAATTTCATTACCAAAAAATTTCACCAAGAGTAAAAAATTGGAGGGTCAAAAAAGAAAAGAAAAGAAAGTAAGGGCACCCCAAAAATATATATATATATATATATATAAGATGAAAAGAAGAAACTAATGTTTGGGGCAACCCAAACCAAAATAAATACGGAGTAAATAATTACGCAACTGATATTTTAAGGATTTGGCTTCAACATCGACCAACTTATGACAGTGATGTAGTTTAAAAGCAGTGCTAAAACTGAAATAGTACTCCTATTAACAGTGAAAAATCTACGCTCACCACCAAAAAGGGTTTTTCTCTTCTTTAGCCACGCAAACTCTCTCTTCCCTACTTTGTTTGCTCTTCGGAAAGAGAGAGAGCTCCAAAAACTCTTCTTTCTGCTCCACCTCCTATCTTTGGCCCCCTCCCCATTACTCTCTCTCTCCGAATACTTTCTCTCTCCCTATACGCCGAATCCATCAGATTCAGCGTGTTGGAATCGCTATTTTTCTTCTGCATCTTCTTTTGATTTTACTGCGGCGATTGACTCTCGAGACCGAAGAGATTGCGGTATGCAGGCTGATCAGACGGTGTTGAGCTTGAGACCTGGTGGTGGCAATCGAGGAAGCAGACCACTTGCCTCTCGCTTCGACTCTTCTTCCCCATCCTCTGATCTTCCGGTTCTTCGTCCTCATGGCGGTGCTCCTCTTTCTCTCTCTATCAAGGTCTGTGCTTTCTCTCTCAACCCATGGATCTAGGGTTTTCAATACTTCTTGCAAAGTTTTCGGATTTTTTTTTAAAGCTTTTAATCGGTTCTTGATTTTAAGTGTGTGTGTGTGTTTTTTTTTTTTTTTTTTTCTGAATTTAGTTTCATCTAATTCTCGTATATCCTTTTATGGTTACACCAGGCGTTGTGTGTACATATAAGTAAATATATGTATGTATGTAATTTTTATTTTTATTTTTTTATTTTTATTTATTATTTTTTTTGCTTAGCTAATTTTGTTGATATGCTTTAGATTTTAGTATAACTGTTGGATTTTTAGTTATGTTCTAAATTTTAAGTTAAAATTATTTTGCTGAGAGGTTTTGTTTCGCTCTTTGAATATAATTGAGCACAAGCATGGTCAAATAATCTATGGATTGATATTACATGTTTTTGTCCTATCAATGGATCTTATCTTATGTTGATGGGCTTTATCTAGGTTAAATGTCAAGTTGAGGTGTTCTTTCTTCTATAGTTTTAGAATTTTCCCCCCTATCATATATGAGTTGGAGGATGGATAAAGAACGCAACTTCTTTGTGGAACAACTATTTTTGTCCTAATAAATCACAGTATTAAGTGTCCAATATTTTTCTCTAAAATAGTTAGGAGCAGATTGAGAGTTTCTGAAATTAATGTCCTAATTCCTGGCTGGGCACTTAAGATGTGGACACAAAGTAATTTGTAGGGTTTTAGGTGGGCATGAGTGAGTTTCAATTGCTCATAAAAAAATCTACCACACACGGAAACTCCATCAGATTTTCTTATGAAAGAATGGGATTTCATGCATGTGATAGGACGTAAGGAAATTGAGTTCCAACTTCCTCAGGGAACTCTTCAGATACTGGGACATGGGGATCAAGTCACCAATCTGTATAACCAATAGTTGTGCTTTTCCTTTATTGGTAGCATGTGATTGGGTGCATGACCTCTTGGACTTCGGATGTAAATTTGATCGGGGAGAGTGTGATAATTTCACTTTTCCATTGTCAGATTTCCTGGGGTTTTCAAACTCAGCAAGGGTCAATTGGCATTCTTGTCGTGTTTATTATCCTTAAAATTTCTGACAGGCAAGAAGATTAGTCTGCATAAATATTCGCAATATCTTATTTCTCCTGTTTCAGTTAAAGTCTTCGGTTGGACGCTTGTTAATTGGTTAGGGATACCAGTCCACCAAGTTTTTGAGGCTTATCTGTTGACTCTGGCATGGCATCTGAAGTAGTACGAAGTCGTGTTTTTGCTTACATGTAGGAGTTGTGGAACAATTATATGTAACCTCTTGCATGCTGTGCAACTTCACGTTGCGGTACCATACCGCTTATAATTTATAGCAATTTTATTCGCTATTAATTTTCCTAATTGAAAATCTATGTCAGTAATGAATCGTTTATATGATAGACCAATGAGTTGTCAGAGTTCTCTGAATCTTTCTTGTTTTGTTGTTGCAGACTGGAGATTCCCGATTTGAGGGCCGTGAACGTGTTCGGTACGCCCGAGATTTGCTGTTACAACTTCGGGAGGTAACTTTTTCAGTATATGTACTAGTTTGGTGATATTGTTGCCTTGGTGGATACATCATAATTAGCTCTTAAATGCTTTTGTCGCTATAGTTTTTTGTTTTTTTTTGGTTTTTGTTTTTTTAATAGTTTTTACTAGGTCACCGCATGCAAATTTATATTCTATACTTCGAGAGTGGACCATGTTTTTGTTTGTCAATTAATCTATTTCCCTTGTATTACTACAATCTGTCATGTCCCTGCGATTTCTTATATATTACTCTTGTTGGGGAATGCATATCATTCCTCTTCTTCTTCCTTTTTTTTATTTTTTCTCCTCCTCTATCTCCTCTCTTCCTTTTTCTGGATATTCTTTTTTCTTGTCATTCTTAATAACACATGTTCAGCCTTCTCTTGATCCCTTTTTCTCAGTTTTTGAGGGCAAGAATAAGCAGGTTTGTTTAGTTTTATATTTTTCATATCGAGTAATTACTTCCTTTCATGAAATTTTATTTCTCATAGATTTATTACACGAATTGTGTATATGTCATTACTTTAGTGGATAATATCATTTATATCTTTTTTATTACTATGATTGTTCTTATGGGTCATATGTGGCAAATAACTTATCCTTTATCTGCATTGTTATTCACACCTTACCTAGTGTCTGATAATGCTGCTTATTATTTTTTAGGCTGTTAACATCCCTGAAGATATTCTGAAAATCAAACAAGAAGTTGAAGTTGAATTTTTTGGTGAGGATCAAAATTGGGGACGTGGAGAAAGCAATGTGAGTTCTTGCTGTACTCTTATACTGCTCAAGTTTTTTATTTTATCTACATGATAAATTTGGTGCAAGCTTGGTATTTGATTTATTTACATCTCTTGTGCTAGCGTTAATTCTTTCTTAGTGGTTAATCGAAGTTTGTGAACAGCTGTAGTGGCTGAAAGTATTTTTTGATGCATCATTTTAATAATTAGCTTTCCATTTTCAGCGAGTTGCTCATATCCATTACTCAATAGAGCAGTTCTTTAATTAATGGTGACTAACACCTGTATTAGTTTACTGGCTCACTTTGGGTGACAATATTCCTTTATGTAGCTGCAAAATCAATCTCCAAATCGTTATTCTGAGCCAAACAATCGTGACTGGCGTGGTCGATCTGCACAATTTCCTAGCTCTGGAGGGGAGAGGTCCTGGTTTGAGTCTAAGCAGCAGGACGCAAATCAATATATTCGCCAAGACCAACTCAATTCGCAGTTTGCAAGGGCACATATCTCTCCTAATCAAGGGGTACACTTTATAATTCTCAAGTTAATTTAGGGGAGTTCTATTCCCCCCCCCCCCCCTCCCCCCAAAAAAAAAAAACAATATTTTCTCCTTAAGAAGTATTAATTTTCCTGCTTCCTGAAATTGCAATTAGCATTGAGGTTGTATTAGTGAGTGGATTTCATTGATTTTCAAGGCCCAAAAATTGATGAAGTTTGGTTTCATGTTCTCATTTGATGTTTTGTTTACTCAATAATTGCTAACATACCTTATTATCCTTTTTTAATGGTTGCTGCTTTAATTAAATGACTTGACCAATATGCTCTATAGGAAATGGTTAAATGCTTTATGAGGCTCAGCTGGATCTCATTTGGGCTTATTTAATTGAGGATCTTTTCTCTCTGAATTTTAATCTAAGCATGTTTGGGATCTAAATCTTGCTTCTTCCTAGAAGTCTGATGAATATTACATTTATATTTTCTTGTTAGATTTGCATTTCAGTTTTGTGATAAATCCTAATTTGGACATAAATAAAGTCATTTTATTTTAGGGCACTAAAGCCAGAATGGTATCGTTTTTTTTTTTTTTTTTTTTCTCTCTCCCTTGAGTTGTCTACCTCTTGGGTTTTAGTAAGATACAGAAATCATGTTCGCCAAATGAGCTGAACCATGTTTTTTAAGGTCTGATTAGTTGTACCAAATGATTGTCAAATCGTGTAATACATATTTTTTATTTGTAGATATAAGATATATTCAGAGAAATAGATGCACAACAGCCACTGTCCACAACAAACTGAAATATTAAAAAAATGTTGTTCTTTTTTGACAGTTCACTCTTAGTTGTCCCGTGACAAAATGTTTTCAAAATATATGCATGACCATTCAAAGTGTGTGCAAGTGCGACAGAGGATCCATATAATTTAATTTTTACTTGTACATCAAGGATACTTTGCTTGCTTCCCATTGCTTAATAGAGTACAGAAATGGTTACGTGTTTTGTGGAAAGAGAACGGAAATAACCTTAATATAATTGTTGACATTTAGAAGGGGTTGTAGATGAGGTAAAATGAGAGGAAGGAATGAATTCCACCAGATGTCCAAGGGGAAAGAGTGGGAGAGAGATGAATACCTGTATCCGTTGAATTCTCATGCAGGAGTTGCATGGAGATGTGACTGCAAAAATGCAGCTTTAGTAAGGTGTATATGCAGTGTGTGCTGATTTGTTCCTTGTTTTTTTGAAGCAGTTTTGACTTTTTTTGTTACGCTGTGGTGTTGCTACTATGCAGATATATGCTTCTTTGCTGTTTTGAACTAAAATGAATCATGTTCTGTGTTTGGACCAGGTAAGCCCGTCTCCTGCTTTAATCAAGGCTGAGGTGCCATGGTCAGCTCGAAGAGGAAATCTCTCTGAGAATGAACGCGTCTTGAAGACAGTAAAAGGGTAATTTCTTTTGAGCTGCACCATTCAATATTGGATGTCTGGTAATTCATTTCTTATATGATGGGTAGTTAACAATATTGTCGATCTTCAATATTAAGCCTAGGCATTACTCTAATGCCAAAATAGTTAGAAGATATTCTTGAATTAGGTGATTTTACTTGCTGGAACCATCTTTCTTCCTGTACAATATTAGTCCTACCACCACACAGACACACAAAATAAGAATATATATACATATATATTATATAAAGAACTGATATAGTTGAAATATCTGCTTATGAATGTTTGATGGGGTTCAAACAAAGTCTTGGAAAAGATGATTGATGTTAAAAATGGAAGTGCCACAAGTTTTAAGGAATGATGCTAACAATTCATTTCATAGTATGGAGTTAAAGCATTCTGTGTTTACTTTTGGTTGTGGATATGCACTTTGGGGCAGACAAAAATCGAAAGAAATCTATCAATTTTGGGATGGAGTACCAGATTATATTTAAATTTATATATGCTGTAGGATGTTATTTATCGCTTTGCCCTAGAAATTCGTTTATTTTGTTTGGATATTTGACGGAGAACAATATTTATTTTAGCTCATGAAACTTATAGTAGCGTGCACAGTTGTAAATAATGATGTCAGTTGATAACAGTTTGTGGTTGTATCTTAAAGCATAGAACAACCCCAACCTGTGGCACACATTCTACCGTGTTGTAGATAATGTGTAGTTGTGCGTTGAAACATGCTAACTGTTATTGCGCTGTGTAGGATACTGAACAAGCTGACTCCAGAGAAGTTCGATCTTCTCAAGGGTAAATTGATTGACTCAGGGATCACAACAGCTGACATTTTAAAGGTCTCTCTCTCTTTCTCTCTCTCATGCTTCTTCTTGGATTTTTTCGCAATTTATTGTAACTTTAAAAGCTGATGTAGTTTCTAACTTTCTGCTTGCGGTGCAGGGAGTTATCTCCTTAATATTTGATAAGGCTGTGCTAGAACCCACATTTTGTCCCATGTATGCTCTCTTGTGTTATGATCTCAATGTGAAGCTTCCGCCATTCCCATCTGATGAACCGGGTGGAAAAGAAATCACGTTTAAGCGAATCCTCCTGGATAATTGCCAGGAGGCTTTTGAGGGTGCTGACAACCTGAAGGCAGAACTAAGGGAGATGACTGCCCCTGAGCAAGTGTTGGAACGTAGAGATAAAGAAAGAATGGTCAAGCTTCGCACTCTTGGAAACATCCGTCTAATTGGAGAGCTTTTGAAGCAGAAGATGGTGCCCGAAAAGATTGTTCATCACATTGTTCAGGTTCTTGATTGATTTCCCTCTCTGGTCCGTTTCTCTTAAATTGGTTGAATCTCTCTCGGCTTGGATTACAGATATAGTGAAGTGTTGTGGATTTTGTCATGGAATTTGTCTTACCATGATGTGTTCTGCAAACAGGTGCTTTTGGGGCATGACAGTAAGACTTGTCCTGAGGAGGAAAATGTTGAGGCAATTTGTCAGTTCTTCAATACTATTGGCAAGCAGCTTGATGAGAACCAAAAGTCACGGCGTATGAATGATATGTATTTCAACCGATTGAAGGAATTGTCAACGAACCCCCAGCTAGCTCCACGATTAAGGTTCATGATTCGTGATGTTCTCGATCGACGTGTTAATAAGTGGGTTCCCAGGCGTGAAGAGGTAATTTTTTATGCCTCGTTGATTGCCATTATTAGATTGCGTGTTTGATTAAAATTTATGATGTCTTGTTCCTCCCATGACTTTACAGGTGAAAGCCAAAACCATTACTGAAATCCATTCAGAGGCGGAAAAGAATCTGGGATTGCGTCCAGGTGCTACTGCAAGCATTAGAAATAGTCGTGGCAGTGTTTCTGGGGCTCAAGGGAATATCAGTCCTGGTGGCTTCCCCATCAACCGGCCTGGCTCTGGGGGCATGATGCCTGGAATGCCGGGAACCAGGAGGATGCCTGGGATGCCTGGAATCAATAATGACAATTGGGAGGTTCCGAGCTCACGGTCAATGCCAAGGGGGGATGGATTAAGTATGCAGCCTACTGGACATGTTCAGCCCCCATTGATTGGCAAGCCACCATCATTGCACTCTAGAATTCTACCTCAGGGTAGTGGTGGTCTGGTAAGTGGCACAACTAGTGCCCTATTGCAAGGGAGTGGTGCCCCTCCTGCACGCCAGCCCAACTTTGGTTTTGGTATGGATCATGCACCTGAAAACCGTACTCCTGCTAGAGCTGTTCCCAATGCAGCTGTGCTCTCAGTTGCTGAGAAACCACAGGCTCCTGCTGCTAGTTTGAGTCTGGATGAACTCAAGAGAAAAACAATCTCTCTACTTGAGGAATATTTTGGTGTCAGAATATTGGATGAAGCATTAGTGTGTATTGAGGAGTTGAAGTCCCCACTTTATCACGCTGAGGTTGTAAAGGAAGCCATTTCCCTTGCATTGGAGAAAAGCCCGCCGTGTGTTGAACCAGTTGCAAAACTTCTGGAGTATTTGTTTGCCAAGAAGGTTTTTACTGATAAGGACCTAGGTACTGGATGTCAGCTGTATGGCTCAATTTTGGATGATATTGGCATAGATATACCAAAAGCACCAAGTAATTTTGGCGAGGTTATTGGGAATCTAGTTTTGATTAGAGGATTGGACTTCAAGGTGGTGAAAGAAGTACTGAAGAAGGTGGAGGATGACAGGTTTCAGAAAGCTATATTCGATGCTGCAATCAGTACTGTTAGTTCCGGGCCATCGGGACAAAGGGTGTTGGAGTTGCAAGCACATGATATTGGGGCCTGCCAGAGCTTATTACTCTAGCAAGCCTACTCTGTCCTTGTATGAGTATTTTCAATGTCTGTAGCCTCATAATAGAACATTTTCTACTCATTTTCTCCTTCCATCGTTATGTCACTTCAATTCACAACTGTTGGAGCCGAGCAACTGTATTACAAATATGTGATAAAGTTGAAGCTGCGAAGAACAGGTAAATTTTAGAGAGCCGTATACTTACTGAAGTCATAGGAAGGTGTTTATTTCAGGGAAAAACATAAAAATGACGCCATGAATTTTGTCTTGAGTGTGGCTAATCATGTGCCAAAGTTACTCTAGATGAACTATCCTTTTATGGGATTCAGTTGTTTGTATTTTGATTAGTTATTTTTTTATTTTTTATTTTTGTGACTTGAGTAATTTAAAATTTTTCAAAATGGACGAGTATAAATGCATCTCCCTGTATTGCCTTGGTTAGAGAGGGTGAACTTGTGTGTGTGTGTATGCGTGCGCTTTTTTTTTTTTTTTTTTTTTATTCCTTTTCGTTTATTGCATGTTGATGATTTTCAGTTTGTGTTGCATGATGTTCTAATGGTGCCCTAGTTTGGAAAATGGCCTAGATTCTCTTGGTGGAAGTTTTTAATGCTTGAAAATCTTTTCCAGATTCAGTTGATTAAAATAAATAAATCTTTGGTAGATTTCTCACTTGTTGACTGAGTGAAGCAAATGCGGTAACTATATGTGTTGCTAGGTGCTTTTGATCATTCGTAGCTGTTGGTTATAATACCATGAAGACGGCTTGCAGTACTACTGGTTGATTAATTGAATTGTTGAAAAGGTAAATAGTGAAGTCCTGCACAATAAGAATTTGCAATTAAGAATAAAAACACTATTTATCAAATATTTTTCTTCATATATAATAAACTAGAATCTTCTCATGAAATAGTTTTTCCATCCCTACAAGTGATGGAAATAGTTTTTCCATCTCCTACTTTATTACTATCAATTTTGAATACCTATGTAAAGCCAAAGCGTCCTTTTTACGTTTTGGTTGCTTTTACCTCAAATTTTTATATGTCCGTGTACTTCTTATATTACTCTCCAATATTATCATCACATGTCGAGGGAGAAGGGAAAAATAAAATAAAATAAAATAAAAAAGAACAAGAAACAAGTCTGAATTTGATGTTTGCATAGATCAAGAAGAAAGGTGGAACCATCTCACCTCAAATCACCTTATTGGAATTTAGAGTGATAATTGATAAATTACCCGAACATCACATACAACTGCAAATAAATTTGTATCTAAAAACAACTTTATTCAGAACACCCTTTAACTTGATTACATTGTTCAGATACATTACTTAGAAACTGACTCCACAACTTGACTTAAAACCCAACAGACCCCTCGCCCTATAAACAAAACCTACCCAACAAACAGCCAAAACAGAGACCCTTACTACTTTACTTCTAAAACCCTTCTTCATTCTTCAACTCATTTAATCAACCTCTTCAATCTTTGGCCCAGCACCACTGCCAGACCCACCAAAACCACCACCGGGCATCTCAGCGCCACCCATCGGCACCTCGCCGCCACCGCCCTGATACATCTTAGCAATAATTGGATTGCACAACCCCTCCAACTCCTTCTGCTTGTCCTCCAACTCATCAACCTCAGCCAGCTGATTCTTCTCCAGCCACTCTATGGCCTCCTCCACCGCCTTCTCGATCTTCTGCTTCTCACTCGCATCCAATTTGGAAGCGAACTTCTCATCTTTCACAGTATTCCTCATGTTATATGCATAATTCTCTAGCGAGTTCTTTGCGTCCACCTTCTTCTTCACCTCCTCATCCTCTGCTTTGTACCTCTCAGCATCATTCACCATCTTCTCAATTTCTTCTTTGCTCAACCTTCCCTTATCATTGGTGATAGTAATTTTGTTCTTCACACCAGCAGTCTTGTCCTCTGCTGATACATTCAATATGCCATTGGCATCGATGTCAAAGCACACATTGATTTGTGGAACACCTCTCGGCGCAGGAGGAATTCCTGCGAGCTCGAATTTCCCGAGAAGATTGTTATCTTTGGTTCGAGCTCTTTCTCCTTCATAGACCTGAATGAGCACACCAGGCTGATTATCAGAGTAGGTAGAAAAGATCTGCTCTTTCTTGGTTGGAATTGTTGTGTTCCTCGGAATCAATGTAGTCATGACACCACCAGCTGTTTCGAGCCCGAGACTGAGAGGCGTGACATCGAGCAGCAACAGGTCCTGCACCTTCTGGTCCCCTTCACCAGTCAGAATCGCCGCCTGAACCGCCGCACCGTAAGCAACAGCCTCGTCGGGGTTAATACTCTTGCAGAGCTCCTTCCCGTTGAAGAAGTCCTGCAATAGTTGCTGAACTTTGGGAATTCTAGTCGACCCACCAACAAGAACCACTTCATGAACCTGACTCTTGTCAATCTTGGAATCACGAAGACACTTCTCCACAGGCTCCATACATTTCCTGAACAAATCCATATTCAATTCCTCAAACCTCGCCCTTGTAATGGTGGCATAGAAATCGATTCCTTCATACAAAGAATCAATTTCTATGGTTGTTTGAGTGGTCGATGACAGAGTCCTCTTCGCCCTCTCGCAAGCCGTCCTCAGCCTCCTCAAAGCCCTGGCATTGCCACTAATGTCCTTCTTGTGCTTCCTCCTGAACTCTGAAACAAAGTGATTCACGAGCCGATTGTCGAAATCTTCACCGCCCAAATGCGTATCACCAGCAGTGGCCTTAACTTCAAAAATCCCTTCTTCAATAGTCAAAAGGGACACATCAAATGTGCCACCTCCAAGGTCGAAAATGAGCACGTTTTGCTCACCCTTTCGCGCCGCCTTCTTGTCCAACCCGTACGCGATCGCCGCCGCGGTGGGTTCGTTGATGATCCTCATCACATTCAGCCCCGCAATCGCTCCGGCGTCCTTCGTCGCCTGCCTCTGCGAATCATTGAAATACGCCGGCACAGTGACCACCGCATTCTTCACCGTATGACCCAAAAACGCTTCAGCAATTTCCTTCATTTTGATCAACACCATGGACGAGATCTCTTCGGCCGAGAACTTTTTCTCTTCGCCTTTGTAGTTCACCACAATCATTGGCTTGTCTCCGGGACCCGGTATGACCTTGAATGGCCAGAGCTTCATGTCGCTCTGGACAGTGGGATCGGAGAAGCGACGACCGATGAGTCGCTTGGCGTCGAACACTGTGTTTGAAGGGTTCATAGCTACTTGGTTCTTGGCTGCGTCGCCGATGAGCCGCTCTGTGTCAGTGAAGGCAACGTAGGACGGAGTGGTCCGGTTGCCCTGGTCGTTGGCGATAATCTCCACACGGTCGTTTTGCCATACGCCGACGCAGCTGTAAGTTGTGCCCAAATCAATTCCGATGGCCTTGCCTTCCGTTTTAGCAGCCATTGATGAAGCTTGAAATCACAGACAAAAACCAACTGGGTTCTCAAAATCTAATTGAAGTATAGAGAAAGAATGGATTCAAAGAGAGCTTTTGATTGAGTGCTTATGCTTTGAATGCTTATGATATGCAAATCTGAGATGGGTTTGAATTGGATTGTGGTGGTATAAATAGGTTATTTGGGGATGAATTGAGAAGGTTCGAGAGTGGCATAGGAATATGTAGAAGAGGCGTGTTATGTAAGAGCATGCTAGAGAGTTCTGGAGATCTTTGCTGGGGATTTTAGTTAGTTACGAAAGAACCCCTCCATTGTGTGAAGTGGAATTTGAGGGTATTTTAGGGATACGGGTTATGTTTTTGTAGTGTCACAGGCCACCGTGTCTTGTTATTATTAGTCGGTGTCGACGAATAAAGATCGGAGGGTAGAGAGGGTGCCGAGTTGTCAAGTCTAGTGACGAATGTTGATTACACGTGGTGACGCTTTATGGTCAAAGACATTTCTACATTGTTCATTCAGTTTATAGATCCAATCAATCAATTTAAAAAGTGGAGCCTATAAAAATTGAATAAATATTTAAAAAAAAATCTGAACACGCCCCCAAATAAATGTATAATCCAGAACCATCTCAAGAATGTCTTCTTTTTATAATTAGGACATTTCTACATGAGTTCATACTATCTATATGTATTTGCTACAATAATAATCTCTTGAGTTATTAGTCAGATTATCTTTTCTGAGTTAATAATCTCATACCCTCTCTAATCTTTTATACTTGAGTACTTTACATTTCATTTCACCTACTATTTTTTTATAAAAAATTTTAAAGTCATTTATTTTTTATCACCCTTTTTCCACCACTTACTTCTTATTATGATTAATCGTTCCATCATGTCGTTTACTTTCTCTAATTTTTCTCATCTATTAATATGTGTCACTCCTGATTTCTATCTGACATTTTCATTAATGATCATATAACGTTTTCATTTTCGTTTATCACATCATATCCCACTATTTTGTTTCCATTTTGTTCAACCTGTTCCAATTTTGCTGGTTATATTACTATTGATCACTTTATCATCTTGTATTATTGATATTATATTATCAATGTTTGGGTATTTATTAAATTTACATTTCATATACTAAATTTTAGTTCGCTAACTCTCAATTCTTATATTCTAGAATATTTCTTCACATTTCTAATTTTATTGTTAACTTCTCTTTGGAGGTATCTAAGATCACTAACAAATATCGTGCACAATTTATTTTGTTATTTAATTTATGATTATTGCAAATAAGCATGGATTTAACACATATTCTTGGTGCAATACTATATTTATGAAAAAATTGTTAGTGTAACTACGTATTTTATGAAATTTTAAATTTTGTATTAATGTACATATTTAAATAATTTTTATGATTTGGAAGAAAATTTATTTTCTTTGTATGGCCTTGCAAATTATATCGTGGATCCTATCATAAAGTATTGGAGGATTTGGTAAACTATATTGTGAAAAAATATGGTTATTTAAAAGTTTAATTGATTTTAATGTTTGATAATTTATTCATAATTTTTTACCTTCAAAGAATGTAAAAAAATGGTTTAGAGAAATCGTGTGATAAGGTGATCTCTTAACAAAAATTTAATTCTTAATATAAGATTAAGATATATATATATATATATATATATATATATATATATATATATTTTAGTTTTTTCTATGCATTTATAAAATATCAACAAGTTCCTCAATCTAGTGATTAATAAGAAGAGTCTACGAGTGTGAGTTGCAAGGATAAATAATAATAAAAAAAAGGACAAGGTTTGTCCTCTACTCTACTGTTGTCTAATTATAAATACATACATAGTCAGTAATTACAAAATTAAGAAAATAATAAATAAGAAAATTGGAAAGAGTGATTGAATTTTATTCCAAACAAAGTTATTATTCTTATTTATCATTTTCTTAATTTTGTAATTATAAGTTATTTGTACATTTGTGATTGAATTAGTAAATAGAAATGACCTCTTCACTTGTGAGTAGATAAGTCTTGTCTTAATAAAAATGCTACTCCTTTGTTTTAAAAGAGTTGAATACATTGAAACTATGACTCACAAAATTTTTAAAGTATCTAATTATTTTAGGATGGTGAGTAATATTTAATAGAAAAACAATGACAAATATAGTGAGATTGTCCCGTAATGGGCTTACTCAGAAGGCAAAAAAGAGAAAGGACAACAAAAAAAGAGCTTCGAACCCACTTTTCAGATTAGCTCGGCCCATTTTTGAGCACACTTCGTTTGAGAGAGAGAAGCCGAGGAAGTGACTAGTGAGGATCGAGGAATCTATAGAGTATAGACTATAGTATATAGTTAGTTTGGTATACACAACACAGTATACAGTATATACCACAACGTATAGATATAGATTATAGATATAGAGGGAGAAGAAAGTAGATTGAGAGGAGAGAATGGATAAGGTACAGTGTCTCTGCTAACCTGCCACTGTTGAAGAGACGCCATGGCTAGTCTAGCTCGCACCTTACCCTTCAATCCCCTCTTTCCCTCCAGACCTAGAGCACAGCCACTTTCTCTCTCCTCATTTGATTCAAATCTCTTCGGCCTCCACCTATACAACCCTAATCTCGTCAATTCCAACTCCCTCATCCATGCGGCCTACTCCTCCTCCGCCCATCACGGCTCCATCTCCGCCCGCTACGGCGGAGGCTCTTCACGGTTCGGCGGCGGCGACTATAGGCGGTCTAGAGACGCTCGGCAGAGCAGCAACGAAGATGATCAAGCTCTCGATATATCCACCATCAAGTACTGTTAAAATTCAATACGAACTCAAGAATTTGAACCTGTTGTTTGAACTTGCTTTGAATTCGTCCTAAACTCAATTTTAGCACATAATTGACTTGGAATTCTGATGTATTTGTTTATGTGATCGTTTGGAATAGGTCAGCTACTGTGAGACTCATCGATGAACGTCAGAATATGGTTAGTATTTTGGAAATTTATTTAAAGTTGAATTTCTAATTTTAGGTATTCATTGAAATTGAATCTTTTGATCCACTAAATTTTATGCTGGACTTCGTAATTGTAGGTTGGAGTGGTTTCTAAAAGCGAGGCTGTTAAAATGGCTGAAGATGCTGAACTTGACCTGGTATGTTCTCATCACTGAAATTTGGACTCTTTGTTTTCCATGCCTCATACAATATTTGATATTCTAACTTTGTCTTGAGAGTTTCCTCTTATTCTCTTATAAAACGAATTTAAGTATTATTTGCATAATGTAAGATTCACATTTTGTACAATATGGAAAACCTATTTGTGTGGTTGAAAGGAGGGCAAAGAATGCATTTTTGTTTGCTGGTTTCTGCAACTGTGTCTTTTTATCGAGTTCTGGGTAATTTTTTAAAATCTGGATGTGGAATTGCACGTGGGAGCCAACTGTAGAACACCTAAAGATGCTACAGAACCAGGAGGATAAAAAACTTTGAAGGCAAATCAAGAAAATAACCAAAAAAAAAAATCTGTAAAACATTAATCTCAGTATTAGCAGCGTTATTCACTGAAACACACCAGCCCATGACATGCTGTTATTGGCCTAGCTATAATCAGGAGGTTTTATTCTCTAGATATTTCTTTAGTCAATTCTTCTTCATATCCTACCAATTCATATGGTCTTGAAAAAATTTTTAATTTAAAGAATTTCAATTAAATGTTAAGTTAATTGATTTTTCCACTTGGTTAATCATCTTTGGCCCTCAGGTTTGATCTTTGAGATAAATGAACCTAATCCTTCACATCAAAGATCTTCTCCTAAATGAAAAAGAAGCCTGGTTGAAGCACGCAGGGCATATACTCTCTTGCTAGATAGTCTTTGTCTAGCTAAGAAGCACGGACACGGATACGGGACACGGATACGACACGACACAGACACGGCGACACGGCAAATCCAAAAAAATTAGGACACGGACACGGCGAATAGTGTATATATATATATATATATATATATCAGCATTAATAATTTTTAAAAAAAAACACTGATATGTTTAGGTTGGAATATATATATATATCACTGATATGTTAGTATATATATATATCAGCATCTTTAGGACACGGACACGGCGAATTGTGGCATCTTTAGGTTAGTATATATATATATATCAACATCTTTAGGGTAGTACAAAACAAAAAATAGAACATATCAGCATTAAAAATTAAAAAAAAAAAAAAAAAAAAAAAATTAACATATCAGAATTAAAAATTTAAAAAAAAAAAAAAAATTCCAGAAAAGTGTGTCCGAGCCGTGTCCGAGCTGTCTGAGCCGTGTCCGAGCTGTCTGAGCCGTGTCCGTGGCGTGTCCGAGCCGTGTCCGAAAATAAAAAAAAAATAAAAAAATTCCAGACACGTTTTTTGGCGTGTCCGACACGTGTCGGGGCGTGTCCGATGCGTGTCCGTGTCCGACACGTGTCGGACACGGATTCTTCGCCCATTTTAGAGTGTCCGTGCTTCCTAGTTGTCTAGATAAGGATATATTATTTCATCTTCCTCATCATGTTTATATTCGTTTGAAACTTCGCATGTGTAGTATGGCACACACTCCCTTCATCGAAAAATCATAGTTTTCTCTTCCTCAAGCACATCTCCTGTGCTACTAATACGTACATTTCCATGGCGGGCAGTAGCACCGGAGGATGTACCTGTGAATCTCAGCATTTATTATCCTTGACATTAATGTTTATTGGCTAATCATTTTTATGCAGTACCTTACCAAAACCTCAATTTGTTTCCTTTTACCACATATTTTTCTTCGTTCAAAGTTCCAAAATTTTTTTCAGTGGCTGTGTCTGTGCAAACTTTAACTCTTTTAACCAGAAGAAGAATTGAGCTTTGTTATGATGCCTTTCCTAATCACGTGTTTCAGACTAGGAAGTTTTATTAGACTGGATTGTATGCAAAAGTGTTGTACCATCTTTTAACGAATTGGCTGTTTCAATTTTGGTTTTATATGCAATTCATCGGAATTAATAAATTATTCAGGTGTTTTAGTGGGAAAAGTTATGAAACTGGTCCTTCATTGAAACTGCTCGACTCCGTCCCATAAAATTATATGATATCTTAAAATAGCCAAAGTCCAACACTCCAAGTCTCCAGACCATATCCGTTCTAATAAGATATGATGTATAGAGATAAATGAAACCCTACCACCATTAAACAACGAATCATATTTACAGAAGTTAAAGGGGAAAAAATCATTTGATTATCTATATGTTTGTATAAAGATATAGATGTGTAATAGATTGCAGATACCCCAACCCAGCCTCAATCTAACAGAGTTCGATTGCTTTTTTTTTTTACCTGCTAAAGCCTGCCCGAGCTTTAGAAGATGCTACATTGTTACCCAAGCCTGGCTAAGTTCAGGTTTAACCTGTCCGAGTTTGGCCCTGTTTACTTTAATCATTTTATATATATTTGTAAATTCTAAATGCTCCATGGCTAAACTGGCATCCCTCTGCTTCCTATCATAGTATCATGTGATCTCGTATTCTTTTTGCTATTGCCTACTGTCATCCTATGGAACTCTGAAGTTTTTGGTTGCATACTTCTTTGGCACAAATTTAAATTTTGGTTTTCCTTTTTTTTTTTTGCCCTTTTCCTTTTACTGTCTGGTTAGAAAATTACGTGGAAAAAAACATTAATGGGAACACTGAAAGTGCCCATTGATTTGAAATTGCATACCTCTATCTAAGTTAGGATATAATCATTGACTATGACAGAATATTGCTTGCATAAAGGATTTACATCTCATTTTTCTCGCATATGCATCTGGTCATGCTTCTATCTGTTTCCTAAATAAGATTGCGACTGTTTTGTCCTTTCAGTTTTAAGTGTAAGTGGAATGTATAATATTGTTAATTGGCTAGACTGAAAGCAAGTGTTATTTGGTATAAAACCATGAACTTAATAATTGAGTTTAGGGTTCCTGAACTACTGAGCCTAATGTTGTCTTGTATGGGTTTATGGCTTTTCAGTTTATCTGGACCCATTTATTTTTAAATATCTTCTAGGTGATAGTTCTGGGAAATTTGCAGCTATGATTGGGTGCTTCAATTCTGTAGAATTGATTAATTGTTTAGTTGTAGAACAATTAAGGATTTCCTATTGAGCTTCTTATACGACATAAGGATAATGCTAGCATTTATTTTACTGCTTGCAGGTAATATTATCACCAGATGCAGATCCTCCAGTTGTCAGACTAATGGATTACAAGTACGATGTATTCACATCATTATCTTTCTTTTTCTTTTTCTATTTTATTATTTATTTTTTGACTGGGTGAATGCTTTTCATGCTGCTATAAAAATCTGTAACCAATGTGAGTTTGAGTTTAAGTTGACGGGGCTTGTGTGAAGAAGTGTAAGCAGGTCCCCTTATTTGGTATATTTCATGTGTAAATAAATAATCATAGTTAATAGGACATTGAGTTATTTGTTAAAAAACAAGTGAAAATTTTGAAGCTCTGCAAGTTGACATGTATAGTGAGTTGGTTTCTGAGGTAAACATTCCATGATTGCAACTCTCTCTCTCTCTCTCTTTCTCTCTCTCTATCTTTTGAGTCTACCGTGAATCATGGTATCTCAAATTTTATAAACTCTGAATTCTTTTTCACTCTTGTTATGACCTTTCCTGTATGTTACCAGTATTGCTAATGGCATACATACTATATTATCATGAGTGTTGTGTTTAGAGAATTCATGGAGCACATATTTTTTTAATATGTTTATGTTGTCTGTATATTATTGTTATCATTAACATCTAGTTTTAGATTACATTTTAAAAACCTACACATTAACTAGCATTGAGAGAAAAAAAGAAAAAAGAAAAAGTGTTCATTGCATGGACAGACCAAAGTTAAAGGTATTGAAGTGAATGCCCTACGTCTTGTCAATTGTTGAATGTGAAAGCATATTAATTTTACTTATCTCATCTCATCTCACAGCAAATATAAATATGAACTGCAAAAGAAGAAAAGAGAACAGCAGAAGAAAAGCTCTGGTGAATGTCTTTTCTGTTTAGAGTTTGCTGTTTTTCTCTGATTCATATATAAATATTCAATTACAAGAAAAGATACTGATGAACGTGTACGCCTGAATGTCAGCAAATCGGATGGATTTGAAGGAGCTTAAGATGGGGTAAAATATTTAGTCTTACAATCACAATTTATCTTCTTTTTGTATATTTATTTATTTTTTGTTTGATTCTCTGGTTCTCGATACAAGTTACTGCTTGCTGCTTTTACATATTTCTTTTATCCTGCCGCCTTTAATTTTTAGCAAAGTTCATTATCTTTGTAATTCGTGAATATGAGTGTCTTTAGTGTTTGACATGAGCAAAAAAGAGCACGGGAGGTGTGATTCCAATAAAGTACCATATCTGGTTTATAACCGACCCCACAACCCAAAAAAAAAAAAAAAGGGAAAAAGAAAAAAATATATTATATGCCGATCAGGAATCCAAATCATAAATTTGGGAAATTTGGTTAATCTCCTTACCTGAAAAACTTATAAAGTAATGCCCTTTTGTTTATCAAGGGAAGTGTAGTGGTTTATGAATAATCCTGTAGTGGTTGATAAGAAAATTTGAGGGTGGGCTTTGAAGCAACGGTAAGGCTGCTTCATTGTGAACTAGAGGTCAAGGGTTCAAGCACTGTGCTAGCCCTGGTTAATTAGAAAATTTATGTGGTATAGAAACTAAATTGTGGTCATCCCTTTTGAGTAATTGATATAAGACCAGGCTTGCCTTACTGCATTCTGGAGGAGGTGTGTACCACCTTTCCCTTGTTTGCGCATCACATCTATTTATGATTTAGGTAGCAGCGTACTGTATATATTGAACTTCTGAGTTGGCGAATTATTATTTTGATTGAGGTGGCATTACGGTGTATCTTCATTACCTTACATTTTCAACCAATTCCATTACTTAATTGCTTTTACATTTCAGAATGAATGAAAGGTTGAGGGTTCAAGTCTCCCCAAGAGCATTGTGGGAGTTCTTTTCCTGGGGACACGCACACAAAAAAAAGAAGCTCCTCTTAGATTTTATTTTGTTGCCAAATTTATGTTATGGTATGTGGGCTTTTGGAATTTGGGGTACTGAAAGTTTCCCTGATAAATTGTTGAGATGGGTCTAGGAATATGCTATTCTGACATGAACTTGCGCCGAAATTGAATGTTCAACTCTGCATGAGTTACCAACAATAGATATAAAATTCAATAAAATTTGAGAGAACTATATTAAAATTTTTTTTCCCCCAACTATTGTTGGTCTCAATTGACTTTTCTATGTTCCTTCTATTTCATTTTGTAACTTAAATGTTTTTGTAATCTAACAATATCTTGGACTATATTGCATTTATTCAATGTCAAATCCTTCCAAAAAAAGTCAGAATTTGAAACGAAGAATATTTAAAAGTTATTTTACTCAGTTAAATTAATAAACTATTTAAGATTTAATAAAAAAAAATAAGTCATAAAAGAAATCATACATCTGCTCAATGATTAAATAACTCAGAAGTACTGTTGGACACTCTCTCTCTCTCTCCCCATTTTTATGTTTCAAATTACATCATTTTTTAAATAACCTATTCCAAATGCAATTTAAGTTCTTTATTAAAATGCTGATTCATACATTCTTTTTGCTGCTTATTATATTTATGTTGTGTTTTAATTTCTATCTTTGGGTTTCACTGACAGTTACAATATTGATGTGCACGATTATACTGTGCGTCTGAAAGCTGCAAAGAAGTTTTTGAAAGATGGCGACAAGGTTGCTTGAGTTTTATTGTGATGTCAGCATTTATCTGCACACATATGCAGAAGTATAATATGCTGTCAAAATTTAAGATATTGAGCTATTCTGTTTAATTCCTGCAGGTTAAGGTTATAGTGAACTTGAAGGGCCGTGAAAATGAGTTCAGGAATAATGCAATAGAGCTTCTCATGCGTTTCCGGACTGATGTTGGGGAGGTAGACTTTATATTTTATCTTTATGTTGGCAGGACGACGGTGCACATTATTTTTAAATGTCAAGTATTACTTATTTCCATATCACGTTATAACATTGAGTACGATGCATCAATAATAAATTGTAAGATATTGAACAAAGAAGTGTGGAAATTGAACTAAGATATGGATCTAGGCTCATCACTGGTTGTAGGCTTAAAATTTTAAACCAGTGCTTAATAATAATTCGTGAAAGCCTCATCCGAATTGTTTAGGATTACAGCTGTGGGATCATTTTTATACTGAATTGTGGTTCATATCAAGGGTAATATAGGAGAGGGGAAGACCAGAAGTACTATGGGTCGAGTCAGCAAGTAAAGATGTGGCAGAATATGGTTTGATGGAGGCTATGACTTCAGATGGAGCGAAATGGAGAAACAAGATCCATGTAGCTGACACCAAGGAGTAGGAAAAAGGCTTTGTTGAGTTGAATCCAGCTATATAAACAATTTTCATTTAATTCCAGGATGTATTGCTCATTTTAGTCAGTCACATTTGAATATCACATAGAATTAGAATTCTTAAATTTTTTAAGCTTCTCTTTTATAAATTTAAGGGAAAAATGGAGCCATTACAAAAGTTATTCGTTTCCCACCATGAGTATATTATCTCATAGGAAAAATAAAAAACTAGTGCTTTCAGCAATACAATGTGCTTTAATGTGCCTACTATTTGCTTTGTGGAGTTTATGAACTGTTTCTCTGGGATGCTCAGGCACTTGAGCGCACTCAGCCATTACTCATCCGATGGCTTTGAGCTATAAGTTTGGTATCAAAGATCGTTTCAGCTGTATTGTTTCTAAACTTTTGTATGATATTTGTCAACTAAAATGTGAATCTATGAATGGCTAGTTATTTGGAGTGAAATATCTTCTTTGGCCGGGACACCCATGGTTAACTTCTAACCGAAACTCATCTAGATTCGTGCATTATTAAGCCATTTGGTGTCTTTACATGTTCTTCATACCTCTTGGTTTTGCTTGTTTTGGCTTTACTTTCTGTGGAAACTTTAATGCATATAGTTATACATAATGGGTTCGGTGCTGCATTTTGCAGCTTGCAACCGAGGAGGCCAAGAACTTAAGAGACAGGAACATGTTTATAGTTTTGATTCCAAATAAGGTGGTTGCACAGAAAGCTCAAGAATCACTAAAGAAAAAGGAAAAGTCAGCAGTGAATGAAGTCTCAGCTGGTGTTTGAGTGTGCCGAAAACTTTATGATGGTTTTCAAGGTAGAACATTCCGCAGACGATCTTTGCTTGAAAATTTTCTCCTAGACCAGAGATCTCGCAATCTTGTATAGCATTAGTTAATATAACCTGGACAAGTAATTTGTTTTTGCTCTTGTTAAAACAAGTAGGTTTCTGGTTAATTGTAATAGTGTCTGATAGGAGCATATGGTGCTTCTTCTGACTGCAGATATGATCAATTCACATGTTTGTTAATTAGTTTCTCAACTGTCGATCAGAAACCGTAGCTAATAGATGATGCATCAACTTGCGAACTAAAGACTCTTGTGGAGAATGACATTTGTGAAGAACTGATTCGAAGTACAGGCTCTGAGGGTCCATTTCTTATAGCATCTGAAATCAGTTTTTTCATTCAGGTAATAGTACAAATTCAAGATGGTAGTGAATGTTGCCCTAGTTTCTAGATATCATTTGTGTAAATGGCTTGAAATGAAGTTGATAGAACTGCTAATCCTCATTGTCCGTGTCATACATACAGACATTTCACAGGAATACAGGCGAAGTTTTATGCATGATGATTAGACTGCATTTGTACCATTGCATGGCACTATGCTTAGGTTGACGTGTGTAAAGATGTGGATTTGTGTTTGAGAACATCCATTTTGTAAAATCAGTGGCAATGGTTATCGTTTAGTATTGAGTAATGACCTTTTAGACGAATTGTTTTTACTACAACAACAATCAAGCCTTTTTCCAATTATTTGGATCCGCTACACGGATTCATGTTTCCATTCCTTTTAGACCGAATTATTTTTATGTGGTTAAAATGTGAGGATGCCTCAACATGGACCCGAACTGACTACCTTATTTATGAAAAAGGGTGTGGCGGTTGGGGCTACGCTGTCTGGTTGACACAGAGGGGCCAACTTACCAACCTAATAAGGTGTGTATATGACTTGGTTTGGAAGTTCTTGTATTTCAAGGGTTCTTTTCCTTCGAAAATTTCTCTTCACATGATGGAGTAATGTTATATGAAGTAATTATTATTATTATTCTTATTATTTTTTGAAAAAACAGAAAGAAAGAAAGAAAAGAAAAACAAAAAGAATGTTAAATAAAGTATCAGGTTGGTGGACAGTTGAATGGGACCAACATAAAGGGGAGGTTATGGGTCTTTGAATCTCAACTTGTTTGGTAAATGTGTTGAAATTTGAAAATATCTAAACCCAACTCTAGATTTCCTTGGCATAAGTTGGGATTGCACATCACCATTTTATGTATGTAATGTATATAAAAAATCCAATGGGAGGGGCCGGATGGGAATGATGTTTCATTATTTTTCAGCTAGATTTGGAAGTTAAGAACTACCTATGGTTTAAGACTAACCAGTTTATCTAATTACTTTGATTTTTCAAAGGCAAAAGTTAGCATTGAAGCAACAATGACAACAAGAAAAGGACAACAAAGGGAAATTGTGCAAATTGCAAAAGCAAGCAATTATGCCTCTTATTTTTTCAACTGGTACTGTCATGCACAATTGTAAGTCATCATAGGTGATGTTAACCAAGGAAGAAACTATATAATCTCTCTCTTTTAACCTAATTGATTACATGATCTTTAAAATGGTATTATTCAATTGGTTTTCTCATAGGCTAAGAAAATTAAAGATAAATTTTTAATCGAATATTTACTAAACAAGAAAAGATATTTGCAACTATCTAAGTCAAGGTTTTGATTTTTTTTTTTTTTTCTTTTTCTTAGAAAACGTGTATTGGCCTCACAATACATGCACAATTCAAATCAGGATTGCGGTTCGAAAGTAAGACCTCAAGAACTTACCTCCCGAATCCCTAATAACGCCGCTATACCCCCAGAGACTAAGTCAAAGTTCTGATTAGTAACTTAAAATTCTCGCATTTTAAGTAAAATTTGTTCCTTTATGTCATACCCCAACTAGTTATAGTTTAATTAGGGTCAAAATAAAGGTTGCCCTTAAACTTGTGACGAATGTGCCATGGTACTACCACCTCAGATAGGTTGCTACAATTAATGCAAAGGAAAAGTTACTGTGTGATGAGCCATGGTTGAGTTGTCCAGATAAATAAAAATTTAATCACGAGATATCATTAAATTCTAAGTTGTTAACTGCTGTGGTCTTTAAGGAAATCTGAGGAATATCAAAGAGATGATTTGGACGAAATAACCAACAATAAAACGTGAAAGGTGGTCGTTGGATAAAGCAGCTGCGTCACTGTGTGTGTGAGAGAGAGAGGATGCATGGTAGTTGAGATGGACGAAGCTTAACTTCAAGGCAATGGAGACTCTGCAACCAACACCCAACACCCATATGTGGACACATTAGGTATGAGAGAGATATAACTACTAATACTATCTCTCAAGACTCTCATACCTTCATTGATTCATTAAAAAGAACCCCCTACTCACCACCACTCTCCTCAGCCTCAGATCGATCATTCTCACCACCACCATCTCCATCCATCATGGAAGCCAGTGCCGGACTCGTCGCTGGTTCTCATAACCGTAACGAGCTTGTTGTCATTCATGGCCATGAAGAGGTGACAAAACATATATATATATATATATATATATATATATATATATATATATATTTTAAATATATATTTTTAATATACTGGGACACTGGACTAATAAGATGTTTGGTATTGTTGTTGTTGCAGCCCAAGCCTTTGAAGGATTTGAATGGTCAAGTTTGTGAGATATGTGGTGATGAGATTGGTCTCACTGTTGACGGAGATCTGTTTGTGGCCTGCAATGAGTGTGGTTTTCCGGTGTGCCGGCCATGCTATGAGTATGAAAGGAGAGAAGGGAGCCAACTATGCCCCCAATGCAAGACCAGATACAAACGCCTAAAAGGTAGGTATTTACATATATATATATATATATATAGGTGTAACAAGCTAGTCCTTAATTTTTTGCACCACTACATATGAGTCGAACAATTTACACAAAAGTACTGCATCGACTTGTATAAACCACAGTCTTGTATGAAATACTACTGAATCAAACTTCTTGAACAAGTGAAGATAGTGTTCATCAAATGGAAACAAGTTAGCTGCTGATTTTATTTATTTATTTATTTTTTTAATTTTAAATTAAAAAAAAACTAAGGGAGTCCAAGGGTGGCGGGAGATGAGGATGAAGAAGATGTGGACGATATCGAGCATGAATTCAAAATCGACGACGAACAAAACAAGAACAAACATATTGCAGAAGCCATGCTTCATGGCAAGATGAGCTATGGAAGAGGTCCTGAAGACGATGATAATGCCCAATACCCACCTGTTATTGCCGGTGTACGGTCTCGCCAGGTGAGCAAAATCAACACACACACACACACACACACACACACACACATATATATCATATGAAAAAATATATATATTATCTATCTGAGACCTCCTTTGCATTGATTTTGATCCAAGAATTACACGAATTAAGAGACTATCCAATTATGCATGCATGCAGGTGAGTGGGGAGTTTCCAATATCAAATCATGCTCATGTAGAGCAGATGATGCCTTCTTCACTAAATAAACGTGTGCATCCGTATCCCGTATCCGAGCCCGGTATGCTTCCATATATATCAATTACAAACTCTTCTCAGAAACATTACATTAATTTTCACACACATTTATTGATGTACAAATCAAACAGGGAGTGCAAGATGGGATGAAAAGAAAGAGGGAGGTTGGAGAGAGAGAATGGATGATTGGAAAATGCAGCAAGGCAATCTGGGGCCAGAACCTGATGACTTGAATGATCCCGACATGGCCATGTATGTAACAAATTAGTTATATCAGTATCGTCATATATATATATATATACATGACTCAAATAAACTATTTGTCCACAGAATTCATATAAGAACCAATTTCAAAACAATCACTAGCATTTCATTACTTCAAAAACTGTTGTATTCAATATAGTTTGTATGAACTGTCAGCATGAGAGACAACAAATTAATTTCTTTCATATAAATTCGTAAATGAAACTAACTGAAAATTGATGAATTCGGCCTCCAACTTCAGTTCTGAACTTAAAATTTGTAAATTAAACTGATGCAGGGTGGATGAAGCTAGACAGCCACTCTCAAGGAAAGTGCCAATTGCATCCAGCAAGATCAACCCTTACCGAATGATCATTGTGACTCGGCTTTTTGTTTTAGCCATCTTCCTCCGGTACAGACTCTTGAACCCAGTGCATGATGCAATCGGGCTCTGGCTAACCTCTGTTGCCTGTGAGATTTGGTTTGCCATTTCATGGATCCTAGATCAGTTCCCAAAATGGTATCCCATTGATCGCGAGACTTACCTTGATCGTCTCTCTCTCAGGTATAACACTTAAACACACTTTCGCAGCACGTACTTCAAATCATCATCATCATCGCCGCCTTTATCACAAGTATAGATTGCTCTGCAAATTAATGTATTAATACAAATTTGTAATGCAGGTACGAGAGGGAAGGCGAACCAAACATGCTTGCTCAAGTAGATATCTTTGTCAGTACTGTGGATCCGATGAAGGAACCCCCTCTAGTTACAGCTAACACAGTTCTGTCAATCTTAGCAATGGACTATCCTGTTGATAAAACCTCATGCTACATTTCTGATGATGGTGCTTCAATGCTTTCCTTCGAATCACTCTCTGAAACTGCAGAATTCGCTCGAAAATGGGTTCCCTTCTGTAAGAAATTTGCCATAGAGCCTCGGGCACCAGAGATGTACTTTTCTTCTAAAATTGATTATCTGAAGGACAAGGTCCAGCCTACATTTGTCAAAGAGCGGCGAGCTATGAAGGTTTTGATCTAATTACCTTGATTTCCTCATCCCTGGTTATAAAATGAAGCTATTTGAACTAAAATACCATTTCTTGGTGTGTGTGTGTGACAGAGAGAGTATGAAGAATTTAAGGTTCGCATTAATGCACTTGTTGCAAAAGCCACGAAGGTTCCTCCAGAAGGGTGGATCATGCAAGATGGGACACCATGGCCAGGAAATAATACTAAGGATCACCCTGGTATGATTCAAGTCTTTCTTGGTCACAGTGGGGGCCTTGATACAGAAGGAAATGAGCTTCCTCGCCTTGTCTATGTCTCTCGTGAGAAGAGGCCTGGCTTTCAACATCACAAGAAAGCTGGTGCCATGAATGCCCTGGTAATGATCAAAGCAACTTTCTGTTATTCACTTCATTCATTGCCTCAACCAACAAAAATTATAGCAAATCTTTATGTTACTCCTCTTTTCTGTCTTAACACCGTTGTGTGTGGTGCAGGGTTTATAATTTTGGTTTGTAAACCGTTACTGGTCCTGTTGTGGAAACAAAAGCACCAAATTTTATCAAAATCATATAAGTGAGATATTTCATTCATGTATACCTTAATTGCAGGTTCGCGTCTCGGGAGTTCTTACTAATGCTCCATTCATGCTGAACTTGGATTGTGACCATTACTTAAATAACAGCAAGGCAGTTAGAGAGGCAATGTGTTTCTTGATGGACCCGCAAATTGGAAAGAAGGTTTGCTATGTCCAATTCCCTCAAAGATTTGATGGCATTGACAGGAATGATAGATATGCCAACAGAAACACAGTCTTCTTTGATGTAAGTCCCTGCAAGAAATTTCACCATTAAATTGTCAGATTGTAGTCATTTTTCATCAGATTATGTGTACATACTGTTTCCATTTAATTTGTTTCACCATATGTATGATTTTATGTCCAATTATGTATATAACTATTTCTCTGATTTGGCAGATCAACATGAAAGGTCTAGATGGAATCCAGGGTCCTGTATATGTGGGCACGGGATGTGTCTTCAGAAGGCAAGCTTTATATGGCTATGAGCCACCAAAGGGTCCTAAGCGTCCGAAGATGGTGAGCTGCGACTGCTGCCCATGTTTTGGACGTCGCAAAAAGCTCCCTAAATATTCCAAACATGGTGCAAATGGAGATGCTGCGAATGTCCAAGGTTGCTACCATTCTTCACCTTGCAAATAATTACTGAATGCTGATTTAATTCTCTCCCCCCCTTTTTTTTCTTCAAATATCAATATTCCTTTTGTTCTTGTTGTCAGGATTCGATGATGACAAGGAGCTACTGATGTCCCATATGAATTTTGAAAAGAAGTTTGGGCAGTCAGCAATTTTTGTGACTTCAACTTTAATGATTGAAGGTGGTGTCCCTCCTTCCTCAAGCCCTGCAGCCTTGTTGAAAGAAGCCATTCATGTAATCAGCTGTGGATATGAAGACAAGACTGAATGGGGTATTGAGGTAATAAACAGCTAAACAACGGGCTAGTGGCCTAGCGGTATCAACCTCTTACTTTCCAAAGGGAGGTCAGGGGTTCAAGTCTCAGAAGAGAAGAGACAAGTGTGTGTGAGTACCAACTAGGAAAAAAAATAAATAAACAGCTAGAATATCAAGCACTTCTACATAGGGAAATGACATTAGTGAAAATTTTCCAAAGCTTCTAAGAAACACTAGTTATAACAACAATTCCATTCAATGTGGATTGCTTTTACCACATATTATTTCTTCATCTCTCTTAACTCAAATCTTGGCTGTGCAGTTGGGGTGGATTTATGGCTCAATTACAGAGGATATTCTAACAGGTTTCAAGATGCATTGCCGTGGATGGAGGTCCATATACTGTATGCCAAAAAGACCTGCATTTAAAGGGTCTGCTCCTATCAACCTGTCAGATCGTCTAAATCAGGTTCTTCGATGGGCTCTTGGTTCGGTTGAGATCTTTTTCAGTCGTCACAGCCCTCTTTTGTATGGCTACAAAGGAGGAAATCTCAAATGGTTGGAGCGTTTTGCGTATGTCAACACTACGGTCTATCCCTTCACATCCTTACCCCTTCTTGCCTATTGTACCCTCCCTGCCATCTGCTTGCTCACTGATAAATTCATCATGCCAGAGGTAACAATATAAAGCTTGTTCCTTCAATTTCACATAACTAACTGGGGTATGCCAGACAAAACACATGGAAACAACATTTCCCATTTCTTTGCCATGGAATTTAACACACTAAGCCATTGCTGTAAATGGTATCATGACAAAGATTGGATTATTCATCTAATATATAGGGCAATTGATTTTCACTTTCACCCTATACATGCAATGGAATTATATGATTTTAGATCCTATTACTTGAAAAGATAATGAATGCTTACATTTTCTTCTGATTTCTGACTACCTTTCCAAGTGGCTTTAGTCTTGCTAGTGAACTTATTTCATTCATTCTTGATCCAGATAAGCACCTTTGCAAGTCTCTTCTTCATATCTCTATTCATTTCCATATTCGCCACGGGCATTCTTGAGCTCAGATGGAGTGGAGTAAGCATCGAGGAATGGTGGAGAAACGAGCAATTTTGGGTCATTGGTGGTGTGTCAGCTCACCTCTTTGCCGTCATACAGGGTCTTCTCAAAGTTTTGGCTGGAATCGACACCAACTTTACCGTCACATCCAAGGCATCAGATGACGAGGACTTTGGAGAGCTATATGCTTTCAAATGGACCACTCTCCTCATCCCTCCAACCACTATCTTAATCATTAACCTTGTTGGGGTTGTGGCTGGAGTCTCTGATGCCATAAACAATGGGTACCAGTCATGGGGTCCCTTATTTGGAAAGCTCTTCTTTGCCTTTTGGGTGATTGTCCATCTATACCCATTCCTCAAAGGTCTCATGGGGAGGCAGAACAGGACACCTACTATTGTGGTTATATGGTCAGTGCTTTTGGCTTCAATCTTCTCCTTGCTTTGGGTTAGAATTGACCCATTTGTGTTGAAAACAAAGGGTCCTGATGTCAAGCAATGTGGGCTCAATTGCTGAAACATTTTTCTTTCCTATTCTTTCTGAGATCTAAACTTCTCCAGAGAATTACTTGTAAATTTTGGTGTGTTACGTGTATGGTGTATGGACCAAAAAGATGGCATTGCAGAAAAAGAAATAAATCCAGAGTGAAAGTTTTGTATATTATCATCAATTGTTCTCAGTTTTGTATCTGGATCAATGGAAAGAATTGCTTAAGATACTTTTGACAACTAATTGCCCGAGGTTTTCAATAAACTTAGTGTCTTGTGCATAAAAAAGAAAAAGAAAAAAAAAAAGTAACTTTATTTAATTGTTGTACCATTTGACAATTTAATTTGGCTCATAAACCAAAATGCAAGGAAAGGGAAGCAGTGAAACCATGGTTGTTAAAATATTCAGCATAAGAGAGAAAAATTGAAATCATGAACAACATAACCCGAACAGGAAACTAGAATGGGAATTCCTCTTCTGGAATTTATCTAAAACAGTACATTGCCAAATTGAAAGCAGATGCAGGTCAGAGCGTCCATACCTCATGAGGTTGTTTTGCTGAGTACAATGCATCTTTCAGCTGTACCAATGACTCCATTCTTTGGCTCCCTTCACCAAACAAAACCTTTTCCCTCAAGAATACCGTCAAGTCCATATCTCTTCCAGTTCCTAATGCTCATTGTCAGAAATTGGTTTGGTTCAGCCACTCAATTCTGTTTGTGGTTGTCCATTCAAAACAAACTCCTCACAAAGGATAAGCCAGCTCTCAATTACTTAATGCAACCAAATTTGTGTATTCTTTGCCTAATACAGCAGAAGATCATAATCACCTTTTCCATCGGTGCTCTTGCTCCACATTCATATGGAATTTGTTACGAGCCAAGTGTGGCTTCTACACAAGCCCTAACTAGGGGTGACCACGAATCAGATCAGATCAGTTTAGGCTAACCTAATCCAATCCGATCCCTACTTATTGGTGGAAATTGAATTCAATTCTATCCGTGAGAAGGCTTAATCTGATGTAAAGTACTGGATTGTTACTGTAACTCCTAACATTATTGCTAATCATAACCGTATTTAGTTTCTGCACAATGGCATCCAGTTGAACTCCTAACAAATGATCCAAGTGCTTCACTTGGGAACTTTTCACCTAATAATATTCCGTATTGTTAATCATAACAGTAGAACAAATCATTCAACAAATGCAAAATAGTGAAGAGCCACTGTTTGTTAGTGTGCGAAGAGTAAAGGGGGTTGTTTAGGTTTAGGGTTAAAACTTATTATTATTATTATGATACGATCCAATCCTACAGATTCTTAATTTATAAATCCGCAGTGGGGTTGAAAATCTGATCCCATCCACATGGATCGGATTGAATCGGATCTGATTCACATATTCACAGATCAAATGAACATCCCTAAACAGCTGGGATGATTTCCTCAATTGGGCATCATCAAATTAGATAAAAAAAAAAAAATAGAAATTCAGTAGAGTTCTAACACGAAACTCACCCTACCCTTGCAAGCTTTGCATACCTCATTTGGAAGGAAAGGAACCATAGAATCTTCCGCAATATCTCCTCCTCCCCTTTGAAAACCCACAATTCCATCATTGATACAGTTCGGATTCGCCCATTTTCCGAAACCATCGCAAATGATTGGAACCTACCTAGGTCATTTTTTGATCCTTCGGAGAAGAACATCTTCTTCTCCTTCGACTGAATGCACTGTAGAGCTGTTGCCCTTGTTTCTGTTAAGTTCCCGCCTTCATCTAGCAGGTAGTTAATTTGTTTTGGTTGGGCTGGGCTTATTGTATTATGGACGGGCCCGTTTTGGATTGCGGTCTACTTTGTTGGACTTGGACACCTTAGTTCTTATGCTCCTTTGGGGGCCTCCTTCCCAGGGTCCGAGTCATCATTGAGATATCACTTTGAAAGGGTTATAGGTTAAGTTACACAATTCTTCTTAATAGGTATCGCTTTTACGCTATAAGCGTGCTCCTGCTTTCACACTCCACGTGCGCTCTTATTCAAATTCTCACTACTTACGACTTGATTCTGCCATTCTTACGCTCCCGCTTTCGAATTTGCTCTTACTCTCGCTCCCGCTTTATGTGACTTACTTATAGGGACATTTTCGAAACGAAATTTAATACCACATCAAATTCGGTTGCAAAATAATAATAACAACATAATATGTCCAAAAATTATGTTCCATAACTGCACAGTTATTCCCTAGTGTCAAAAACGTTACAATCGCGGAATGACTATGCTAGAATGAAAATTATCCCAAGACGATGCATTTTTAATTCGTGTTTCATGTATAGGATGGGATGTGTGTGTGTATATATGTGTGTGTTCAATTTAGGAAAATCGCATCTTTTATCTTATGTTGTTTCCCAAAAAAAAAACTTATGTTGTTTGGTGCTATATATATACAGAATTGAATTTTACATTACGCATATTATTGGAATTATTAGATGGTATAGTTGTATCATAGGCAAGCTACAAAATAAGTGTACATTAAAATAAAAACCACCAGCTTAATTATATGGAAATAGGGGTGTAACTTGGCTGGGCAATCTGAACTCAACTCAAGTCTAGTTTGATTCTTCTAGGATACTTATTTTTATAATTAAGGTTGAGTTTTGATTAAAAAATTTCAAACCAAATTAATTAGGATTGTGCTTGATTGAGGTGCTAAGAACATGAGTCAAAATCAAGCCCAAATTCTAATATCATTTTCATATATGTTATTTAATTTAGATACATTATATATAATTTTTAAATTATGATAACTTTTTTTCTTTTCAACTTCTTTTATTTTAAAGCTTAATTTATTATATGTTAATACTTTGAAAATTTAATTTTTAAAATAATTTATTTGTAATTTATTAAAAATTTGCAATAAGTTTTAGAAAAATTGTGTTTACAATCACGAAAAAAAATATTTGTATTTAGGATAATTAAATTTTAAAAAAATTTAAGATCAAATTAAAATTTTAAAGTGGTTATTGATCATATAAGTAATTCGAATTAATATTACTTTCTAACTCAAAATTTCTCCCGAGTTATAAACCAAAGTTTAAAAATAAAATGATGAATTAAACTCGAGTTAGAGTTGAATTAGGGATAGAACATTTTTTATATCGGGTTGAACTTGAAGTCTCTAATTTGTCCAATCCGCCGGAGTTGAAAAGGATTACCTAGGTTACTGGTAAGTGGTATATTCTTTGTAAGGTGTGTAGTTTTTTGTTTTTGAATATATAGTTTTGCTAAAAAAACACAATTATAGGTGGGCTGGGCTACCTTAATAATCTGTCAATATTTCCCTTACGGGTCAGGCTTGTCGGCCAAACTGGACTTCAACACCAACACTCAAGCCCAGTTCATCAACTAGGTGGGCTGGGCTAAACTGGCTAGCCAATGAGTTTGGGCTGAGCTAAAGATCGATGGACCAAAAGCTTCTGGCCGAAATTGATTATTTAGTTGGTCCATAGAAAGATTTTATAGAATATATATATATATATGAAAGCACTTTCGAATTTTTGAAAAAGATGAAAACCGACTCTAGCTATATGAGTGAGTTGCATGATTGCATGTGTTTCTTCCTTGTAAAGATTACACGACCTGAATACACATGACTAAAAATTTCACAAATATTGAATATATATATATATATATGAATACACATGACTAAAAATTTCACAAATATTGAATATATATATATATATATATATATATATATATATATATATAGTACAACATAACTATTATTTGTAAGTTGTAACATTTCAAAGTTACAAGCACACAACTCAATTTTCATTTTCAACCAAATATGTATAGTAATGACTGGAAAATTTTCAACACTCCAATACAATTCACCACTACTAAGCGATAAAAGTCAACCAAATTTAATTTCTTTGCTCCATTTATTTGGGTGTAAAATATTTTTATTTTTATTTTTATTTTTTGGCGTTTGATTATCGTAAAATATTTACGAAAAAAAAATTAAAATCTAACAAATATAACTTACTCATCAATTTTCAGTAAGTTATTTTACACATCCGGTCTAATAAACTTGACCTCCACCTCGACTTAGACCTCTGTCAAATACCGAATAAGTAAAAATAAAAAATATTTTACCTATAAAATGAAAATATTTTCTGAATAAAATATTTTACGTCGAAACAAACGTAGCCTTAATGTGTATATGAAGTTGGATCCCTCTTCATGTAACATTATTTGATAAATTCGTGTGTAATTCTTTAACTCAATATTCAATGACTGATTTTCTATTAGTTTTTAATTTTTATTTATACTTCCTAAAATAATGATTTGTTGACTCAAACACTGATTGATTAGTGAATAACAATATCCTCATTCTCATCGTCATCTGAATCAGACAGGTTTCTCAACTCATCACTAGGACAATATTTAGACCCCACTTCAGTAAAATCTATGTTTCATCATGTGAAAACAATGTTAACGCGGGGTACGAAAGTTATTAGTTGATTTTAATTGTGATTAACTCCTTTAATGACTTAGATCTGATTATTAGGTCAACTTACTCAATTTATGATTGATTAATTATTTAATCAATTAACCATCTACAATCATAAATATAAATACTGTAAAATAAAGCAAGTAAGATTAGAGAGATTGCATCAAGATTTTTAGTGAGGAAACCGTAGTTGAAACAAAGTACACTGAACTTTGACTTTGACTCACACCCTATTGTTCTATCAAACAGTAATTGCTGACAATTCTCTGACTTTGTGACGTCCTGTGCAACAATAACTTGACCTCAGACTTATACTTGATCTTTGTAGAAGAGTAGCAGGTAGATCAGACAATAGTATTCCTCCAATTCTCTAACCCTTTCAAAGTGTGATCGCTTTTACTTCTGTTCTTTAAGATCTGAACTCGATGTAGAAGAATTAAATCTTGTCTTTTCTTTGGAAACTCTGAATCTTCAATGTAGTTTCAGTTCCGATGAGATAGTAAACAACACTACTAAATCACTCATGAATATATGTATATGCTCACAAAAATTCATTCAGAATAATCAGATTTGATTTTCAAATTTTCTCTCTCTAAATGCCTTCTCAAAATATAGAATTGATGTTCCTTAAAGTCATGAATAAACCTAAATAACTAACAAGGTTTATATAGAGTTTAG